TCTCCCCGGCAGTCATTGCTGGTCCCAGTGTGGCACTAGGGGGCGCTGTGCTGCAAGGAGTGGGGTGGGACTCATAGGTGGTGCTGACCCTAATGCCCCAGAGCAGGAGGGGGGTGGGGTTTAGTGGGTTAGAGCAGGGGGCTGGGAGTCAGGACTCCTGGGTTCTATCCCCAGCTCTGCCTCGATCTGCTGTGCCCCGTGTAACTGCCGTGCGCCCGCCCTTGCTCCCACAGTGCAGCATGAGTGCATCCCACAGGCCATCCTGGGCATGGACGTGCTGTGCCAGGCCAAGTCGGGCATGGGCAAGACGGCCGTCTTCGTGCTGGCCACGCTGCAGCAAATCGAGCCGGTGGATGGACAGGTACAGGGGGGCGGGTGTCTGTGTGTGTGTCTGGCCTGGGCTGGGGGATTTGCTGAGGGAGAGGAGCAGGCATGCCTCCCGGCCCCCTCGCCTCTCTCTGCCCCACTCCACGTGGGAAGGGACCCGGGTCACCCGCATGCCTTGCATGCGAGCCGCCCTGGGGAAGGTGCCTTAGCCTGATGCGCTGTTGGGCTCAGTACAGGGGTGAGGGGGGGCCGGTCCCTGGCCGTGCTACGCAGGAGGTTGGGTTAGATGAGCCCTTCTGGCCTGAAACTCCTGGGAAGCGGATCCCTGGGAGGCCGGTTCTGGGCCCGCCCCTGGGGTGACTGTGGGGTGCTGCAGACGCTGCGGGAGAATCCAGTGTGGATGGGGCCGTGTGTTTCTCTAGCCTAGGGGTCCGGGACAGGCTGCTGCTGAGAACCAGCCCTTCTGCTTTCAAATCTGACTATGTGGTGGGGGTGGGGGCAGGGGTCCCTGGTGGGGGTCATGCTGGGCTGTGGGGGTGGCACCACCCCAGCGATGCTGGAGTGTCCCCAGAGTGGGTACGGACCGGGCAGCAGCAGGTTGGGCTCGCCGTGTTGTGCCACCGATGCAGCCCCACAGCGAGGCTGCTGTGGGGCAGATCTGAGAGCTGGCGAACTCGCTGCATGTGAACGCTCTGAAGCCGTCGCTGAGCCAGCGAGATGTGCCTTGGGAGCCTGCTTCCCCCCAGCCCACCCTGCTGCCCCCAGCACTGCAGGGAGCATGGTGCTTTGCCCACGCCTGGCTGGGGGTGGGCGAGCGGGTTGGCCTGCCTGGGCACTGCTGCCATGTGTCTGGATCTCCAGTGGCTGCCCCGGGGGGCTGGCTCAGACACACCAGCCTGGCACTGGGCCGGTGCTGTGATACCCCCTGTGGGCTGGATCCTGCCCCGAGACAGCCTCCCAGCGGGCCGTAGCCACGCGTGGATCTGGGAGGACGTCGCTTAGGCCATAAGCCCCTTGTTCTGGGGCCTGCCGGAGCTGGATGCCCATCCCCCAGGGTCGGCAGTCACCGAACTCTGCTCCGCTGAGCCCGGGCCACTGTGGACCAAGGCCTACCTTGGAGCCATGCACCAGAGCAATCCTGGCTAGCAGTGGGGCCTGTCCCTGCTGTTGTAGGGGGCCAGCATGCTGCACCCCAGAACTGGCCGCATTAGTGGGCTGTGGATCCTGCGGGGACAGCGCTCCTATGCCGAAAGGGGGCATGTCTGAGGCGAGGCGATGGCTGGGGGGGGCTGGGATGGAGTAACCGACACTGCTGCTCCGGGGCTGCTGTTGGGAACCAGCCCTGTGCTGGGGGGAGATCCCCCCATTCCTGGGCTGGGGGAGCCCTTTGGGGGCTTTGGCACTGCCCTGTCGGGTGGCAAGACCTTGTCCGGGGCTTCAGGAGAAGGGTGGGTGGGGGTGTTTGCTGCTGCAGGGTGGGGCAGTGCCACGGGAGGGGGCATGGACCCCCGATGCTCTGGATTAGTCCGGTCTCCATGGGTGTGGGGGGAGCTCTGAAAGCTCAGGGAAGGGGCAAAGATGGGGGCACCTGTTCTCTGGGATTTGGGGGAGGGAGTGGCTGTCCCTGGGTGGGGGCGTCGGGCTGTGTCCCGGGAGGGGGAGGGCAGGGTGCTGGGGTGACCCCGTCTCTCTCCCTCTCCCAGGTGTCGGTGCTGGTGATGTGCCACACGCGGGAGCTGGCGTTCCAGATCAGCAAGGAGTACGAACGCTTCTCCAAGTACATGCCCAGCGTCAAGGTGAGCCAGGAACCCCGGTGTCAAGGGGAACCCCCTCCCCCACACCCCTGGTGCCCCCCGTAGAGCCACGAGTGTTATTCAGCCTGGCTCCAGGGGGTGAGGGGTGTGGGGAGTATCCCCCTTCCAGGGGACACGGCCTTGGAGACACAGCCCCCTTCCTCCCTCCCCAGCATGAGCCCCCCAGCAGCTGCCTGCATGATTGTGTTGAGGGCCTGAAACTTGGAAGCTGCAAGGGTGGGTCTCCGTCTTCTCCGTGCTCATGTGGGAGACCCAGAGTGTGGCTGTGGGTGGGTCAGGACTCCTGGGTTCTCTCCTGGCTGGGGGTGGGTCAGGACTCCTGGGTTCTCTCCCGGCTCTGGGTGTCAGGACTCCTGGGTTCTAGTTTACGCTCTGCCACTAAACTGCCCTTGGACAAGGCCTGTCCTCCCGTCTCAGTTTCCCCCAGCGGGAGGGGAGGGACTCTCCCCTAGCCCCAGGCGTGCCCGGTGCTGGGGGTTCGCTGCCTGGCCACTGACCCTGCTGTTCCCCTGGCTGCCTGCAGGTGGGGGTGTTCTTCGGGGGCCTGTCTATCAAGAAGGACGAGGAGGTGCTGAAGAAGAACTGCCCCCACATCGTGGTGGGGACCCCGGGGCGCATCCTGGCCCTGGTGCGCAACAAGAGCCTCAACCTGCGCAGCGTCAAACACTTCGTGCTGGACGAGTGCGACAAGATGCTGGAGCAGCTTGGTGAGATTGGGGGTGGGGGTGCTGGGGCATGGCGGGGGACGACCCCCTGCTTGGGGTACCTGAGGCCTTGGGGCTGTTTGCATCATCTGTCAGGACTCCTGGAAGGGGAGTGGGGTCTAGTGGTTAGAGTGGGGGAGAATGGGGGGGGGGGGGGGGGGCATGGCTCCTGGGTTCTATCCCCACTCCCCTCCCAGCGCTGGGAAAACATAACAGGCTATGAACCTTCTTCAGCTGCCTGGGTGGAGGGCGTCTCCTTCCTCTGGGTCAGGGATGGCGCCAACTGGTTCTGCCCTAGGGATCCTGCCAGCATCAGGCCCGGACCTGCCTGATGCCAGGTGCTGCCCAGTCAGGGGGGCCCAGCTGTGTGTCCCTGGGTCCTGCTGGTCTGAAGCCCAGGCCGGTGTGTCGGGGGTGTGACCCCAGGCCTTGGGGGAGTGGGGGAGCTGCAGGGGGATGCAGATATCCAGAGGGGTGGGGGAGGCTGACTGCAGGGGATCAGACAGTCTGGGTTTAAGCCATCTGCTGTGGGGAGCGACTTGGGGGGGCTCAGCTGGCTCTGATGTGGGGGGTGCCTGGAGCTGTGACCCCAGGGGCTGGTTCTGGGCCCGATTCCCAGGGTTGGGCCGGGGGGTTATCGCGGGGGCCCCCCCCCCCGAGCATCCCCCCCAGCTGTCTCCAGTGCAGTGACCCCCTCCCTCCCCACAGACATGCGGCGGGACGTGCAGGAGATCTTCCGGCTGACGCCCCACGAGAAGCAGTGCATGATGTTCAGTGCCACCCTCAGCAAGGAGATCCGACCTGTCTGCAGGAAGTTCATGCAGGACGTGAGTCGCCTGCCGCCTGTCCCAGCCCCCCCCCCCCCGCCCTCCCCCCCCCCCCCCCTCCCCCTCTGCCACCGGTCTACCCCCTGCCCATCGCCTCCTGCCCCCCACCCCATCCCTCCCTTGTGGCCTGCCCCCTGGCCCCTCACGGGCCTGGTCCCTCCCCAGCCTAGCCAGGAAAGTGACCCTCGATCCCTACCCCCGGCTGGGCTCAGCGCTGAGCAGTCCTAAGCCTCCGGGCCTGGCTGCCAGCAACTCACCCAGCACCTGCTGGCTTGATGGGGGCACCAGCCAGTCCCCTGCTCCGGGCAGCCAGGGACGGGCCAGCTCCTCTGGGGTTCCTGGCTCCCTCACGCAGGGTCCCTGGGACCCCAGTGTTCTCTGTGGGAGGGTCTGCTGCCGAAAGCCTTCCCGCCACGCCGGCTGCTCGGAACCCTGCCAGCCCCAGGCCCTGGAACAGCGAGGGTTGGCAGCCCTATGCCCCGGCACAGCCGTAGCCTGGGTGAGGCAGGCGCTGCTGTGGGGGTGTTGCTGATCCATGCTGGAGGTGGAGCTTTGACCCGCTCAGTGGCTGGGCGCTGTGGGGAGGGTAAGGGTCTACTACAGCTGATGTCAAAGGGAGCTCCTCCCCGGCTCAAGCGGCGGAGCCTCTGCTATTCTGGGTTCAAACCGGGGGTGGGGGAGGTCGGCTCACAGGGGGCTGGGTTGAAGCCCCTTTGGCAGCGAGGGGGCGTCGCTGAGCTGCACCCCCTTTCTCCCCAGCCCATGGAGGTGTTCGTGGACGACGAGACCAAGCTGACGCTGCACGGCCTGCAGCAGTACTACGTCAAGCTGAAGGACAGCGAGAAGAACCGCAAGCTCTTCGACCTGCTCGACGTGCTGGAGTTCAACCAGGTGTGTGTGGGGGCAGGGGGGCGGGGGGGGGGGACGCCGGGGGGGGGAGTTGGGGGCAGGGGTTAGAGCGTGGGGCTGGAGCAGGACTCCTGGGTTCTGGCTGTCAGTGGCTGGCTGTGACACTGGGGCCAGGCTATGGATCCGAGCCACCCACAGCGCTAGGCCTCTGGGAGATCCAGGAGGGGGAGGAGCCCTGCTTGGTTCCGGGGAGGAGAGGGGGGTTAGAGCATGCTCAGTCTCCTTGGGCCACACTGTGTGTGTGTGGGGGGTGGGGGGGGGAGGGACACCCCCAGATGGGAGACCAGGGCAGGACGGGCTCTTTGGACTCCACTGCAGCAGGGGTGGGACGTGTGGATGGCTGGGCAGAGGGGGCAGGTGCAGGATTGACCTGGGGGGGTCTGATCCCAGGCAAGATCCGGGGGCTGGGCCGGGCTGGGGTTGAATAGCTGGTCCCCCCGTGCTGATGGGGTGGGGGCAGGGAGGGGGTGGAGCTGTCTGACGAGGTGGGGGGGGGCTGCGTGCTAACCCTCCGTCCCTCCCCCAGGTGGTGATCTTCGTCAAGTCGGTGCAGCGCTGCATGGCACTGGCCCAGCTGCTGGTGGAGCAGAACTTCCCGGCCATCGCCATCCACCGGGGCATGTCGCAGGAGGAGAGGTGGGTGCTGGGCTGGCTGGGGGGAGGGGCTGGGCGGGGCCTGGCCTGGCCTGGGAGGGATGTTGGGTCTCATTGACCTGATTCGTGCTGGCACCAGGCTCTGGGAGGGAAGCAGGGCCTAGTGGTTGGAGCAGGGCTAGGGTCTCAGGTGTGATTCTCCCCCAGGCTGTCCCGGTACCAGCAGTTCAAGGATTTCCAGCGCCGCATCCTGGTGGCCACCAACCTGTTCGGGCGGGGGATGGACATTGAGCGTGTCAACATCGTCTTCAACTACGACATGCCCGAGGACTCGGACACCTACCTGCACCGGGTGAGCTCTGCCGCTGGGGAGAGCCGGGCCTGGGTTCTGACCCTGCACCTTCCGGCCCAGGAGAGCTGGGCCCAGCCTGGCACCGGGGGGCCTGACCCTGCGGCTGCTGGCCCGGGCATTGGGGGGGAGCCTCATTGCCCCCAGGCTCTGCCCAACATTGGGGGCCCAGCACCCCAGGCCCGGCTCCTGTTACTGGAGCAAGTGGTTGAGGCTGAGGCGCCCTGGCTGGCAGGCGGTGTAGCCCTGGCCACCCAGGGATGGGTTTGATCTGGGCCTGTCGGGATGTGGGGGGTTATCAGTCAGGGAGGGTGCTTGGCAAGTGGCCCCTGCTGATGCCCCCATGGGGTTGAGGGGCTAAGCCTGGGGGTCTCAGAGCTGCCTTTGCCCCCCCTCCAGCTGCATCGCCCAGGGTGGGTCACGGAGCGCCTGGCTGGGGTGGTTCTGTCTTCAGGCCCCATGCCCTGCCACACCTGCGCTGGGCTCCTAGTTGGTTGCAGCTTCCTAGTGGGAGGCGCTCCCGGCAGGAACCCAGGAGTCCAGTGCCCTGCCTGTCACATGGTGCTGGTGGGCGTGGCTCTGGGAAGCCCCTCCCCACTGACAGCCCCTCCCCGCTCATTGCAGGTGGCGCGTGCCGGGCGCTTTGGCACCAAGGGCCTGGCCATCACCTTCGTGTCGGACGAGGGCGACGCCAAGATCCTCAACGAGGTGCAGGATCGCTTCGAGGTGAACGTGGCTGAGCTGCCCGAGGAGATCGACATTTCCACGTACAGTACGTACCCGCCAGGGGCAGCCCTCGGTCCTTTGCCCTCCCCCCAGGGAGCAGCTGCAGGGCTCTTGCCCAAATCCTGTCTTTCTGGGGGACGTCCCAGCTGGGGAGCGCCATGCCCTGAGGGCGCCCAGGTGCTATGGTGATGGGCCTGTAGATTACACTCAGCATGGGGTGGGGCCTCTCCTGATCTCTGATGCTTGTGGATTGGTAGCAGCCACCGACACCTCCCCGCCATGGCCTCTGCCCCCGTGATTGTAGAGGTGGCTGCTGTGCCGGCTGCTCTGGGGGCCACAGCTCAGCAGTGGGGGGTGAGTCTGAGTCAGGTCACAGTGAAGAACTGAATGGGGTGGGGGAGCCCTCTGGTGGCAGAAGTGGGATTAACAGCCTCTTTCTCTTGCAGTTGAACAGAGCCGATAACCGGATTGGACCCCCCTGCCCAGAACCAGCCCGGCTGCTCTTTTTAACCCTTTGTAAGCCAGATCACGGGTATTTCATTTTTTATGCAGTTTTTAAACCTGTAGATGTGTGTGTAAGAGTGTCTCAAATAAACTTTTTATTACCAAGTGCCTGTGGTGGAGTTTTAGCTTCTTGATGGGCTCAATGAGATTTAAATTTGTTTTGTGTGTAATGGCACTCTGCACTGGAGGTTCTAATTAATTTTTTTTTGAATGCCTTGTCTGATACTGTATATCTGGACTGGAAAGTGGCTGCAGCTGTTCACAATAGCTGTGTCCCACCCCAGAGATGGCTGCATCTATCTGTGTGATTAAAAACTGTTTCAAAGTATTGTGTTTTGTCTCCCTGAGACACTGGGAGTCAGGACTCCTGGGTTCTATCCCAGCATTGAGGGGAAGTAGGGTGTCGTGTAGGCCATACTCGCAGGACGGGGGGACGCTATCCTAGGAAGCAGTGATGCTGGAAAAAGATTTGGGGTTGTGGTGGATAATCAGCTGAAGATAAGCTCCCACCGCAATGCTGTAGCTAAAGGATGCGTGAAGAGGGGACGCTCAGGTAGGAGGAGGGAGGTTATTTTACTCTGTATCTGGCACTGGTCTGAGTGCCGCTTAACTAGTGTCCAGCTCTGGTGTCCCCACTTCCAGACAGATGCTGATCAATTGGAGAGAGGCCAGAAGGCCTGTGAGGATTCGCAAACCTGCCCTGTAGTGACAGACTCCGGAGCTCAGTTGGATTAGCAGAGACAGGGAAGGGGTCACTCGGTCAGTCTATAGGGACTGTGATCATGGGCTCTTCAGTCTCTCAGCCAGACGGCTGGAAGCGAGACCGTCACACTGGAAATCGGCAGGGAGGGTAAATGAACCCCGGGACAGCTTCCCCGGGGGCATGGTGGATTCTCAGCACTGGCCCTTTCCCAATGGAGCCGGGACATTCTGCTCTCAATGGAGCAGGAGTGACTCCAGGGAGGGTGGGGGCCTGTTCTGCAGCTGGTTGGACTCCGAGGGTCACTGTGGGCCCAGCTGCCCTTAGAACGTGTCATCTAGAGCAGGGGTAGGCAACCTATGGCACGGGTGCCGAAGGCGGCACACGAGTTGATTTTCAGTGGCACTCACACTGCCCAGGTCCTGGCCACCGGTCCGGGGGGCTCTGCATTTTAATTTAATTTTAAATGAAGCTTCTTAAACATTTTAAAAACCTTATTTACTTTACATACAACAATAGTTTAGTTATATATTATAGACTTATAGAAAGACCTTTTAAAAACGTTAAAATGTATTCCTGGCACTCGAAACCTTAAATTAGAGTGAATAAATGAAGACTCGGCACACCACTTCTGAAAGGTTGCCGACCCCTGATCTAGAGGGTTAGAGCAGCGGGGGCTGGGAGTCAGGACTCCTGGGTTCTCTCCAGCCACCACACACGTGCCTCCTCGAAGCAGATGTTTTTGTCACAAAACTTAATATTTTAATAACTTTAAAAAGATCATTTTTAAAACCAGTGTCTCCAGTGAGACGCAGACAGCCGAGCCCTGGGGGCCGCCGCAGGCTGGGGCCGCTTGCCTCCTTCAGCTCCGGCCGTGTCGTACCGTCATCGAAGCCAAGGGCGGTGGCTGATGCTGCAGTCCCTGGGGGGAGGGTTTCATCACCGCTGGCTGGATTGATCTCCACTGCCCGCGCTCAGCCCGGCCCAGCGTCGTACCGCAGGCGGGGCCGGGGACCCGGTCGTACCAAAGGGAAAGGCGCCCCCCTGTGGCCAGAGGACGTCGCGTCGGAGCTGAGCGGCTGCCCTGTTGGCCGTTGCTATTGCTGGCGATGCTGGCAGCGCGCAGGCCTGGGGCTGGTGAGTGCCCAGCGGGTGGGGGCAGCTGAGCAGCGTAACGGTGCCCCCCCCCCGCCTGGCAGGTTCCACTGGGCAACCGTTGAAGCATCTGCATGCGGCGAGTCCGGGTGCGTGGTGGGTCTCTGCTCACGGGCAGGGCCGGGCAGGGGGCCGGGTTTTCTCATGTGCAAAGCTGCGGTGTCCGGAAATGGGCTGAGTGCAAGAGTGCTACAACCCCGACTCCTGCGACGGCTGGAGCCCCTGCTGGGAAGCGGGGGGGGAGGTTAGAGCAGGACTCGACCCCCCACTGTCCCCTCCCCCCAGGCTGCCTCATGGTGAGTCAAAATGACAAATGGGGTCCTGACTCTCAGCCCCTCCCAGAGCTGGGGACAGACCCCAGGGCTCCCAGCCCCTCTCTCTGGCTTCTAATTCCTTTTCAGCCCAGCTCTGCCTCATTTCTCTTCTAAACCCCCCCCCCCCCCCCCCCCCCACCGGGGGGGGGGGGGGGGGGGGAGCAGGGCTGCAGGGCGACACGGGCGGGGGGGGGGGGCAGAAGGGCTGCGGGGCAGAAGGCTCCTGCGCTGTTGTGGAGCCCGGCCCAGCCCCCCCTTACCCGCGTGGCGGTCGAGGTGGAGAAGTCGGAGTACTTGGCCGGTCTCTTGAGGCCGCTGCAGCTCAGCCACCTGCGGTACTCGTCCCTCACCTGGCAGGAGAGAGAAGAGGGCTGGTCACCCCACGGCGCAGGGGAGCTTGCAGGGTGGGGCCTCAGCTGTAGGGAGACATGGGCCCAGAACTGGCCGGGCAGGGGGGAGCTCTCAGCTACGCCAGCCCCAGCAGAGGACACTGGGGCGAGCTCCCAGTGGGGGACGCTGTGGGGCAGGGGTTGAGCGCTGGCTGTGGAAGGAGCTTGGGGGTGGGGCGCTGTGGGGCAGGGGGCGCTGTGGGGCAGGGGATGAGTGCCGGCTGTGGTGGTGCTAGGGGGGTGGTTGAGTGCTGGCTGTGGGGGTGCCCAGGAGGGTGCTGGGGGGCAGAGGTTGAGCGCTGGCTGGGGGGGCCGCTGGGGGGTGGGCATTGAGCACTGGGGCTGGGGTGGCACTGGGGGCGGTTGAGCGCTGGCTGTGGGGGGTGCTGTGGTGTGGGGGTTGAGCACGGGCTGCGGTGGGTGCTGTGGGGCAGGGGCTGTGGGGGGACTGGCCTGTTTCTTGAGCAGACAGTGCAGCAGGAAGATGAAGAGCCCCTGCAGGCTGTTGAGGATGGTGAAGATGTAGGAGACGACCAGGCTGCGCTGGTTGAACTGGAACAGGCCGAAGATCCAGGTGGTGCCCAGGACGCAGAGCTGGGCGATGGCCGTGATGGTGAGCACCCTGCGGGGGAGGGGGAACCAGTCACTTGACCCCGCCCCTCCACCGCAGCCCACCTTCCATTCCCCCTTGGGGCCCCGCCCCACAGCTTCTGTCCCCCTGGGGTCCCACCCCTCAGTCACAGCCCACCTCCCCTTCTCTCCCAGGGCCCTGCCCCTCAAACCTGAACCCCCCCACCCCGCATGTGACTGACATCTCCTCCACACAGCCCCACCACCCCAGACTCTGCCCCCCAGCCAGTAGGGGGTGAGGGAAAATGTCACTCATCTGTGGCTCCCTCCCGCCACACATGGGGGGGGGATGACATCACGTTATCATATGCCCCCCAGCTCCCTCTCCCTTGATGGGGGGGCAGCAGGGCAGTGCCAGGGTCTCTGCTGCCCCGGGGGCCGCCCTCGCTACCTGAACTTCTTCAGCTGGCTCATGTCAGGGTTGATGTCAGCGAATTTCAGCGACAGCTTCCAGACGGTGACGACAAAGATCACGGCATTGACCTGCCGGGCGCAAGGGAGAGGCGGGTTGGGAGGGGGGCAAGTGTGTCCCAGGGTTGGGGGCTATGGGATCTGCCAGCTGCGCAGCCCATGGGGCAGCCCCTTGCCTGGGCCACGGGCGCCCCACTTCCCATAGTGACCCAGCTCGGCCCCTGGGGACTGGGGGGGACGGGGGATGACAAGCGAGGGCCTCAGCTGCCCCGGAGCAGGGGTTGGATGGCAGGGGAAAGAAGTGAGGGCAGCTGCCAGCCAGGCCCTCAGGGGCCGGCCAGGGGGCCAGGTGCTGGCATGGGGCTGGGCTCGGGAAGGGGATTTACCGCGATGATGATGCAGACGGGCGCCAGGAAGCTCCAAATGAATTGCTTCTCCAGCGAGAGCCAGCAGCTGTGGGGGAGGGACAGACACGGGTCAGTCACTCACCTGCCAGCAGGGGGCACTGCAGGGTGGGGTCTGCCCCCCCTACCGGCAGAGTGGGGGATGGAGACTTGCCAGCCCCCCCCCTTGGTGCCCGGGAGCGTCCTTGTGTTGTACAAGTGTCCCGGGCTGTGGCCCTGAGCAGAAGCTGTCCCTGGCCCAAGTGGCAGCAGGGTGCCCCCCTCCCTCACGCTGGCCTCACCCACCCCATGGGGGCCCACCCCTCCCCTCCCCTGGTGGGTCCAGATGGCAGCGGCACGCCCGGCTGAGCCGCTCCTGTCCCCATGTGCTGCCTGGGCATGGTGCCATGTTCCCCTTGAGCCCCTGGCCGCGAGCACTGGGCCTGCCCCCCCCCGGGCCGGTGACTCACTGGCGCGCCGTGCCGTAGCCCTCGCTGTAGGTGGCGGCCGAGACGCCCACGATGAGGGCCGGCACGCCGTAGCCCAGCAGGAACATGTGGCGGCGCCGGAGGCCGTGGGGGGTGAAGACCTGAACCACCAGCAGGTAGAGCTCGGCGCCCTCCAGGCACATCCAGCAGAAGGCGGCCAGGAAGAAATAGTGCAGGAGCCCGGCCACCACGCCGCACACCACCTGCAGCCAACGGGACATGGGACGTCAGGGCCGGGCTCCCGGCTCCTCCAGCCCCAGCCCCTGGCAGCAGGGGGCGCAGTGGGGAGCGGGGCAGGAGCACTGGCTGTGGGGGGAGCTCCCGGCTACTTCAGCCCCAGACACTGGGGGCACTGTAGGGAGCAAGGCAGGACTGCTGGCTGTGGGGTGGCTCCTGGCTTCTCCCGCTCCAGCCTGTGCCAGCAGGGGCCACTGTGGGGAGCGGGGCCCGAGGCTGGCTGGGGGGGAGGTGGCGAGCTGGCGAGCTCCCAGTAGGGGGCATTGCAGGGAGCTGGGCCCGAGGCTGGCTGGGGGAGCTGCCAGTGGGGGGCGCTGTGGGGAGCGGGACCCGATGCTGGCAGGGGAGCCGGGTACCCTGTTGCCGGTGCTGGAGGTGCCGGTGAGGAAGACGGTGTAGGC